GTACAAACTAATACACTATCAGAGTTTTATATATTTATACTTCTCATTCAACCACAGTTAAATTCACTCTATCTAGGAGGCTCAGTTTATATGGATAGTTTTTATTTTTTACAACAACAAGCTGCAATGAAAACAAGCAGAAATTAAATAAAAGTAACGACTTTATACTTCTTGTCTTTTTTTATAAATGTAAGGAGTGGAAAGTACGCTGAAAAATAATTACTCAAGTAAAGTACTGATACACAAAAATTCTACATAAGTACAGTAACAAAGTATTTGTACTCAGTTACTGTATAACTCTGTTGGTACTGTTATTAAAATATTTGATTGCATGTATTTGAAGTCAAACATAGACCTATAGTATAACAGAATGCACTGCTGGAATAAGTAATACATAAATCTAGACTTCTGTAAACTAAGAAACATGACAAAAAGTAATTTATTTACCTCGTTAATTATGGTGAAACACTTGTAAAAGACAACAACATATTAAGACACAACTCTGTAGCAGAGGTTTAAATGTCCAGTTTTCTGTAGTAAAATGCTGGAGTCCAGAACTTTATCCAGCATCAGACTACAAATTAAGATAAACACATTCATCAAACATGTTTACTGTTACTGGTATTTAATAGTTTTTTTTACCAGAAACTTCCCAACATTACATTTAAAGAGATTTATAACTGAGTTGTCAGTAAGTAAAATATAAATGACATGAAGAGGCTGACCATGTGTCAGACTGACAGCAGGTAACTGTGTCACAGTCAGTGTGTGAAATATAACATACCACTCTAACTTTATTTATTATTATTTATTTATTAAACAACCACAGGACCAAAGAGCTGTACAGTCACAACATAATAAAAGCTTAGTCCAATAATTAAAACTATACAATAAAACAAACACATAAAACTAATTAAAATGCTCTCAAATCAAACTATGATTATTGAAGTAATGTTTTAAAGCTGACAGGGGCGTGACCTGTCTGACAGGGGCGTGACCTGTCTGACAGGCGTGTGGCCTGTCTGACAGGGGCGTGGCCTGTCTGACAGGGGCGTGACCTGTCTGACAGGGGCGTGACCTGTCTGACAGGCGTGTGGCCTGTCTGACAGGGACGTGGCCTGTCTGACAGGGGCGTGACCTGTCTGACAGGGGTGTGGCCTGTCTGACAGGGGCGTGGCCTGTATGAAAGGGGCGTGACCTGTCTGACAGGGGCGTGACCTGTCTGACAGGGGCGTGACCTGTCTGACAGGCGTGTGGCCTGTCTGACAGGGGCGTGGCCTGTCTGACAGGGGCGTGACCTGTCTGACAGGGGCGTGGCCTGTATGAAAGGGGCGTGGCCAGTGAGGTTGTTCACAGTTTAGCAGCAGCAGTGGACACGACTCCATTCCCTCCAAGCTGACAGTCAGGAAGGGTGTAGAGGGGCAGCAGCTCAGTGAACAGGAGGGGTGTAGAGGAGCAGCAGCTCAGTGAA